TCCCCAAGCAAAACCCTTGTCCCAGGGGAAGCTGGAGCAGGGCTGGGGACCTCCCTTGCTGTGAGGCTCCTACCACAAGCAGCCCCCACCTCCCGCTCCCTCCTCGTCCTCTGCACCCCAGACGCTGGAGCCTCTAAGGCTGGAGGAGGCTGGAGTCCTGGACTTCCCTGTTCCAGGGGCACAGGAGGGAAGGGAAGGAGAGACTGGCCCTGTGCTCCTGCTCTGCTGGGATTCCTGCAGAGTCAGATAAACCCACTCAGGTCCATTCTGGAGGTTCTATTTAGATGGGAGTCTCAGGTGGGAATTGGGCTTCAACACCGACAGGTGTTGAATAGTCAGTTCCCCTAAGGCCTGCTCGGGAAGAGATGGGTTTCATCAACAACAGGAGGGATTTAGTTAGACTCCAAGAAGAACTTCTCAGGCTTGAGAGTTGACAAATAACTTTGGCTTTTTTAGCTAGCTCTTCCTATTCAGAAAGGTCACACGAGGTCCGAGCTGGATTTAGGAAAGATGAAGGAGGGCAAAGGAAGGCGTGTGGGTCCCATGTGATCTGAGAGCCGGGTCCACATCCTCTTCCTTAGAAGGACAGGAGTAGAGTACAGTGTTTCAGGGTTTGGTGGAGTGTCGGGAAGGGGGGTTCTGAGAYACTCAGATGCACGATCACATCCTGGCCTTGGCCCTTAGCACCCAGGTGACAGTGGACAAGAAGGGTACCATAGGAGTCCGGTGGAGGTCGAGTGATGTGGACAGCCCGGTCCACGCTGGCTGTGGTGATGGACAGAGGACTGTGGAGTGGAGCAGAGTGGGGCGCACTCTCCCCAACCTCTCTTTTGTCCCCTTCCTCCACTGGGGCAAGGGGCAGGAGGACTGTTCCGAGTCAGGCTGCTGCAAGCTGGGCCTGAGGACAGGGCACTCAGCACCTAGAGTGGACCCCACCAAGAGCCACCCCCAGGTGCCCATCAGCACCAGCCAGCCCCCTTGACACCAGAGTCCTCACGGCCGTCCCAAGAGGAAGGGAGCCCACTCCCGCCCTCCGGGCCCATCTCGGGCTCCTTCCCGCCCCTGTCCCCCAGCACTCTCGGGGACACAGTACTCACAGCTTGCCCAGTGCCCCTGGGTCCTCGCAGGCAGATGGTTTCCGTCTGCCCAGCCCCCGCCCCCACCCCAAAGGCCGCCTCCTGGAGTTCTGCGGGAAGCTTGCCTCCAGCCGTCTCCAGGGACGCAGCCTTTGGGTCCATCTGGGTCGAGCCTGCATGCCCAAACATGGTCAGCTCTGAGCGCTGGCCGCGGGACAGCCTCGGGAGAGCAGGTACCGGCCCTGAGACAGCAGGCGTCCTGGGCCAGCACCTGCATTTCCCAGCATCTCATGGGAAACAGATGTCAAAGGACAAACAGTAAAACCCAGTACCCCGAAAAGACCACCCTGGTCTATTTGGAAATGTTTCTTCTCCCGTCTCTCAGGCTGGCAGAGGAGCAGGGAACGGGAAGCGAGTTTCCTTTTGTGGCGCAGGGGGAGGAGAGGGAGCCCCAGGGGGAGGAGAGGGAGCCCATGGGGCTGGGCTCAGCCTCTACCCAGGGGAGCGAGGCCCTGCTGCCTGGGGCACCTCGTGGGCCTCCCTGGGCCTGTTTTCCCCCCCTGTGCTACTGGGGTGTTGGAGACTTGCTTTGTTCAGGGTGGAGATAGTGGGGATTTAGGGGAAGGGAGGAGAACCCGACTTCAAGGGCCAGCAGACCTGAAGCCAGGACACGCAGAGTTCTACAGCCACATTCAGCCAGCAGGGTCCTGGCGACCCAGGGACCTTCTACACACTGCCAAAATAGGGCTGGGGCTCACGGGCAGAGACTCATCCCCATCAGTAAACAAGCCAACCCCAGCCCCGTCTCCCCATCTTCGAGGGGGATGATGAAAGGATTGAAAATCAGCCACAAAAGCAAACCCCGTGCTGGGCTCCCCTAAGTACCTGGTGTGGCGCTGGAGTCTCTGTGCTCCCCGGGTCCCGTGAGCAGCTGGAGGAGCCTCAGGTAACTGGCCGAGCCCCACTGTTCTACGGTGGGCCTGGTTCAAGCTGGCCTTCCCAGCCTGCAAAGCCCCAGCATCTCCGCTGGCCCAGGGGCCACTGCACAGGCAGTCACTGGCCACCTGAAGTCCCGGGTCACCTGAGCACTGCTGACTGTGTTGTAGGAGCAGGGCACGGGCTCTGTTCGGGTCTCTGCGAACAATTGGCAGCTCACCCAGACCTGGGAGAGAAGAAACCAGCAGAGGACTCCAGCCCCTGCCTCCCAGTGTCCCAGCCTCGTCTCAGACATCACAGAGCAGGGACAAGCCACCCTGGCTGGGCTGAATGAACTCCCAATCCACAAAATCCATGAGCAGAAAAGGGATGTTTACACATTGGGGTGCGTTGGGGGACATTTATCACGCAGCCCTCCTAACTGACACGCGTTGAGGTGATTTAAAAGGGGGACCATCCTGGTGGCAGGCAGCTGGCGTCAGAACCAGCCGCATTAAAAAGCCTGAGCTCACTACATGGAGTGTGGAGGGGACTTATGCCCCGTGACACATCCCTGCACGATGGGGCAGAAGGGCAGAAATGTGGGAGGGGTTCTTGATGACAGGCCATCTGCAATGTGCCTGGGCACAGGCCACACACACAGGTGTATATATACAGACATACACACGTGTTCACATACACACAACCACACACACACACACAGAGTCCCCGACCCTTATCTGAGGGTTCTTTCTGAAGTGTCAGTTACCCATGTTCAATCTCAGTCTGAGAATACCAAACAGAAAATTCCAGAAACAAACCATTCCTAGGTTTTGAATTACTTCCATTGCCGTCTGTCCTTAGTTACCTATTTTGCGGTAACTCACTGTCGCTGCCCGCTTACTGTCCTAGTTAGTAGCTGGGCTTTAGCACAGCTGTGCACTTAGAGGAAGAAGCCCGTACAGGCAGGGCTTGGTGCCCTCTGCGGCCTGAGCTGGCGGGGAAGGACTGGGCACCTGTCCCCACGGATACAGGGGCTGCAGCTGCACGGATGCCCCCTGCCCCCCCGCCGCGCCCCGCAGAGGGCGGAGTGATCTGCAGGGGTCATCCCCCGGACGCAGGGGACAGAGCCTGGGTTGGAACGGCGGCCTCCACGCCCATCCCTGTGACTCCCTGGGGAGCAGGCTAAGAAAACCAGCGTTTCTTCCTGTGTCTGTCGCGCTGTTTCACGGCCCCTCTCGTCACCGGTGGCCTTCTCGGGTCATGCATCCACTTACCTATTGAAGCCCTTTCGCCCAATATTCAGACTCGTGGGATGACAAGTCCCCTACGTCCACCTGGAGACCCGTCCCCAGCCTGCTGCCTGTGTGTCGCCCGCTGAGCGCCATGGGGAGGATGGGAACCTGTCACCTGTCCTGGTGACACTGTTCACAGGCGCTTCCGCACCTACTGCACACAGGCTGGGAGCACACCGCAGCACYGAGGGGCCGGCCTTGTGGGGTCGGCAGTTTGGACTTTTAACTGCAAAAATGCAAAACAGACAAAACGGTGGTTCTAAGGGAGAGGGAGGCCAGGGRCCTGGTCTGCAGCTTCCCTTTCCGTGGACTCCGTCGCTGGCCATCAACGGCAGTCTGAAAAAAATTAAATAGAAAATTCCAGAAATAAGCCGTCCCTAACTTTTAAATGACTTCGATACAGCTTGTCGTTGTSGCTGCTCTATTTGTTAGTAGTCCTGTTCTCTCCCTGAACCTCACTCACACACTGCATCTTCTCGAAAGGAAGAGGAGGAGGAGGAGGAGGAAGAGCCATAGTCCTCGTGGGGTCTGCTGCTGTCCCCAGTCCTAAGCGCTGTGGCTTGGGACATGTCCCCTGAATAAGGGCAGAGGAAAGAACAAGGGAGGGGTTTCGGCAGACCCCAGAGGGCGGAGGGAGGGCCGGACAGAAGGAGGAGCTGCCGGCCTCCCCTGCCTTGGGCAGGGACCCCACTCCCTTCTCCCTGCMGCTCCTCCCCCTTCTTCCCTCCACCTGTCCTGCTCTGTAACCTGGGGTGGAGCCTGCTATGGTGGTGACCCGGTGGGCAGCTGGGACCCTGCCCTAGCCAGCGCCCAGCCCCTTCCCCTCCTCCTGGCTCCTGGCAGCTCTCCTGGCTCCTGGGCCCTGTCACCACTCTGATCTAGCCTGCTCCTTCCTGGCCGCCCCTGCGTCGCCCCCAGCACCTTCTCTCCGGTCACTTCCAGGGCAGGGTGCCCTCTGAGACCAGTGGTAGCACCTGGAGAAACAACCTGAGACTCTTGGGACTTTGTTGTTGTGGTGATTTGATGCAGGGGCKGGGGGACCTGTGGCTTCTCATGTCACAAAATGTTGTAGTCACTTCCCCATTCCATGAAATATTGTCCTGAGGCAGCTGTGCATCCTGCGACATAGTTACCATCATAGATCTCATCAGAGCMGTGGTGTTGGATATCAAGGAACCGTGCTGGCCTGTTCGCTTGTGCTTGGGAGAACTTGGCAGGCTTGTGCCCTCCTGCCCCCCAAAACACCCCACCATTTCTCATGATTTGATAGGTACAAGAAAGACTGGATCTGCAATGGCTTTGGGGGTCAGACCTGAGGGAAAGTAAAGCTCAAGAGGGGGAAACAGCAGGAAGTTGGTGTCTGTCCATTTTCTGTTGCTGTAACAAAATATCTAAGGCTGGGTACTTAGAAAGAAAAGAAGTTTCTTTAGCCCACGGTTTTGAAGGCTGAAAGTGCAGGATGGGTGGCCCCATCGGTTGGGTCTCTAATGAGGTCCCTGGCTGCTTCACAGCATAGTAGATGGCATCATGGTGGGAGTGTGCCCAAGAAGGAGAGGCTAGATGGTAAGTGTTTTTCTGATGGTGAGGCCTCCCAGTGTTCTCATTACCTCCCACTAGGCCCCGCCTCTTAAAGGACCCAACACCTCTCAACCACACCATGCTGGGAACTAAACTTCTAGCACATGAAACTTTGGGGACACACCCAAAGCATGGCAGTTGACAACTTCCTCGCCCTGGTGCAGTCCAGTGTGAGCCTTAGAGAATGAGGGGGTGGAGGGAGGAAGAGGGACACCACTGTATTCGCTAGCTAGAAGCTCCCTCCACATCAGCAATGCCCCTTTGAGACTCAGGAGGGAGCCAAGTRGCTCTCTCCACTCCAGCCAGGCTCTAGCCGTGGCCCCATGATCAGGGGTCCTCATCGTCACTTCAGGCTACTGGCGCAGGGTGCTCTGGAGTGCTGGGCTGGCTTACAGCAGCTTTGTGACAGCCTTTGCAAGCCAGCTAGGGAGCTGGGACTCCTCACAGTGCTGGGGACATTTATCCACATCTTCACACAGTAGGAATCACAGCTTTGTTCATTCTCACAGCTGGTTTAGCAGCAATGCTGGCCCAGGGTCTGAGGGTCTGTCCTTAAGAGGGGATGTCCTTAAGAGGTGGTTGAACCCTGCAGGATGCCCAGCCTGGAGATCTCGGGTGGGTGCTGGGAGATGACCAGCTGACCTCCCACCCAGGTCCCTTTCCAACAGATTGACACACACTGACTGAGTCCACCTGGGGGACAGACAGGAGCTGGCTTCCAGGACAGAGGGTGGGCTGGAGAGTGGGAAGGGTCTGCAGAAACTGCACAAGTGCTAATCTATCTCCTGTCGTGTGGCTGTGGGTCCAGGAACCAACAAGCGAAGCAGAGAAGGGGATTTGAGGTTTTCCTCCCTGAAATCCCCTAGAGACATCTGTGTGAGGCAGAAAGCTCTGTAGATGGGCCGGGCTTGAGCCGCAACCTTTGTACATCAATGTGAAAGTATCCATGGTAGCCCGGGCAGGTGCGAGCCAGGGACATTCGGGCTACAGAAATAGAGCTTCATTAATATTCTTTGCATAAAATATTGGTACATTTGTGATTATTTCCCGAAAGCAAAAACCAGACCTCCCAGCATAATTCTAAGACACAGGGTGCTCATCTCTTCAAGACTGTGATTCACAAGGCAGTATTTTTTTTTTTTTTTACTACGTTTATTCCAATTTGTGTTCTCACAGCCAGGACTCTAGAGTAACTGATCCTACACGTCCTCACCAGTACAGCTGTCCCCCATGACTCAGTCTCTGCAAGAAATTGTGTCTGCACCAAAAATACACAGAGTTGGGTTTTGTTTTGTTTTGTTTATATTGTC